TGTCTGACAATTCTTGCTTATTTATTCTTATTTGTTCTTGTCTCTTAAGTTGTTGGAGTATGGAAGAAATCTTCTCCATGCCTCCTCTTTTCAATCTTTATATCATCTGGGTCAGTGGTCGGCAAACTCATTAGTCAACAGAGCCAAATATCAACAGTACAATGATTGAAATTTCTTTTGAGAGCCGAAAACCGGCTTCTGCGCTTGGGCTACGAAGTTTTAGTCACACTGTATGTGCGCACCTGCACGTGGTATTTTTTGGAAGAGCCATACTCAAGGGGCCAAAGAGTCACATGTGGCTCACGAGCACAGTTGTGCCGACCACTGACTCTGGGTGATCTTGCATTCCTGTGGCTTCAGTACCCACCCGTTTGCTAATGAATCACTATACTCAGATTTCTAGCTCAGACCTTTTAAAAAAATTATTTATGATGTTTAGAGAGAGAGAAGAAGGGAGGGAAAAGAGAGAGAGAGATTGATTTGTTGTTCCACTTATTTATGCATTCATTGGTTGATTCTTGTATGTGCCCTGACTGGGGATTTAATCCACAACTTTGGCGTAGCAGGATGATGCTCTAACCAACTGAGCTACCAGGACAGGGACCCAACCTTTTTTTGTTTGTTTGTTTTTAATTTCAGCTTTATTGAGGGTTAGTTGACACATAAATGTGTAAAAATTTTAAAGTATACATCAAAAATAAAAAATAAAAGCATTTACATTCTTTTCTCTTAGCAAATTTCAGTAATATAAATAGTATTGTCAATCACAGTCACATTGTTGTCCATAGATCCCCACAACTTATTCATCCTAAAATTGACAGTTTGTGTCCTTTTACCAACTTCTCCCTATTTGTCCCATCCTTCAGCCCCTGGCACTTTTCTGTTCTATTTCTATGAATGTGACTTTTTTGTATCCTAGACTTCACATAAAAGTTAAGTAATATACCATACAATATGTGTCTTTCTCTGTCTACTTTATTTCATTTAACATAGTAGTGCCTCAAAGTTTATACTTGTTGTCACAAATAGAATTTTTTTTACTTTCTTATGGCTAAATAATATTCCATTTTGTGTATCCATGTCTGCACATACATTCATCTTTCGATATATACTTAGATTTCTCCCATATCTTGACTACTCTCAATAATACAGCAATGAACATGAGATGCATCAACAAACACATTGCTTTAAGAGGTTTTTGAGATTTTTGTTTTCTTCTAGGATTTTTTGTTTCATGGTTTACATTTAAATCTTCTATCTATTTCGAGTTTATTCTTGTGTATAGTTTAAATTGGTGGTCTAGTTTCATTTTTTCTTTTTTTTTTTTTTTGCCTCTATCTGTTCAATTTTTCCAATACCCTTTATTAAAGAGACTTTCTTTACTCTACTGTATGCTCTTGTTTTCTTTGTCAAATATTGATTAAGTGTAATAGCTTGCATCGATTTCTGGGGTCTCTTTTCAGTTCCATTGATCTATATGCCTGTTCTTGTGCCAGTACTAGGCTGTTTTGATTACAGTGCGTTTGTAGTATAACTTGATATCTGGTATTGTGATTCCTCCAAATTTGTTCTTCTTTCTCAAAAACAAAGAGGTCTTTTTTGGTTTCATATAAATTTCTGGAATATTTTCTAGATCTGTGAAATATGCTCTTGGTATTTTAATAGTGATTGTGTTGAATCAATAGATTGCTTTGAGTAGTATAGACATTTTAATGATGTTAATTGTTCCAATCCATGAACATGATACATTTTTCTATTTGTTTGTGTCTTCCTTATTTCTTTTTTCAATGTCCTATAGTTTTCTGAGTACAGTTCTTTTATCTCATTGACTAGAGGCCCAGTACACAAAATTCGTGCACAGGGAGGGGGTGTCCCTCGGTCTGGCCTGCACCGTCTACAATCTGGGATGTCTCAGATATCCCTTTCACAATCTGGGACTGCTGGCTCCTAACCACTCATCTGTCTGCCTGCCTGATTGCCCCTAACTGCTTCTGCCTGCCAGCCTGATCTCCCCTAACCACTTCCCTGCCAGCCTGATTGATGCCTAACTGCTCCCCTGCAAGCATGATCACCCCCAACTGCCCTCCCCTGCCAGCCTAGCCTCCCCTAACTTCCTTCCCCTGCTGGCCTGTTTGTTCCCAATTGCTCTCCTCTGCCAGCTATCTTGTGGTGGCCATCTTGTGACAACGTGAGGGCAGCCATCTAGTGGCAGCCAATCTGGTGATGATGTGAGGGTGTTGTGTGAGGACCACCGAGGCTTTTATTAATATAGATTTATTAATATAGATAAAGTTTATTCCAAGGTATCTTATTTTTTGTTGTTGCAATGGCAAATCTAGTCACTGTCTCAAAAAAAAATGATGCAATGAACATGAGAGTGTTATTATAGTGTTTTTATTTCCTTGGATATACACCTAGAAGTGGGATTTTTAGATCAAAGGGTAGTACTATTTTTAATTTTTGAGGAACCTCCATATTATTTTCCAAAGTAGTTGTACCAATCTATTTCTCCCATTTTGTAGATTGAGCCTTAGATCTACATAATTAACTTCTTTTACATCTCTATTTCTGTGTTTTTTGTTTTTATTTTTTGGTTCAAACTTAAAATAATAAAAACCAAACTTATGTTTATTTGTTTAGAGTTTACTATCTTATTGGAACCACCATTTTACTAACTTATTGGAACTACTCAGTTTTCTAAGAGAGTTCCGTGAGCGTCATCTTTTACTACTATTTCTCCCTTACTCCTCATAGTCAATCAGTAATAAAGTTTTATGAATTCTACTTTAAAACATATATTTTGAGACTGTGTACTTACCTTCATCCTAGGTTCATCATGCTCATGAAAGCACCATCATATGATGGGCTGTCGTAGACCCCTAAATGATTTTCTTAGATCCAGTCTTAATCCTTCAGATCCATTCTTCATACAAGAGCAAGTTCTGATACTTCCTTAGGAAGACTAAAATCTTTAATGTTTTCCCATTGCTTTGAGGATAAAGATAAATTTTATTGACATTCCTTAAAAAGCCTGGACCTGCGCAACTGTACAGTCCAGATGTTTGCACACACCCCTTTGTCCCCATACACTCTATGCTTCAGCATATTTCTAGTCTTCCTTCAGGTTCTAGTGCCTATCAATTTTTATTTACTTTACTTTCATATGGTCTTTTTTCTTTGATCTGAAATAGCTTTCTCTCCTTATTCCAAGTAATTCCTTCTCAAACTTCAGGTATAACAGAGACCACATCTCTTTCATTAACTCTTTTCTGCCTCAGCTCTTGCATACCAGTACAGGTATCTCTGCAATGTCTCTTCTTGATGCTCTGAACATTCCTTATCATAGCACTTAATACCTTTCAACTATTATTTTAATAACTTGCCTTCAGTAGTAGCTCATCATAACATTGCCAGTACTTGACATCAGTCATGCTTTTTCTGGATGACTATTAATTTAACCAGGTAAATGAATGAAACTCACTGAATAGATAAACTAGAAGTTATAGTGATGATACACCTTATCCCAGAGGAAATCTTTTATAAAGACAAATTATATGAAACATATAAAAAGACTGAGAAAACAATGTGTTTGGAAAAAATAGGTTAATAATAAATGTGACCTTCAGGTAAACAGAGTAAGTGAAAAAATGTTATTTAATTCAGACCATAGTAAATGATTGAATGATTCTAAATAAGCTTATAATTTTAAATCAATTAATAGACTGATTATACACATGGGTGTGATCCTTCTCTACTTCTCTTCTGAACATTCCTTAGTGTCTTATCAAGATTATTGTGATTGACTATTTCTTCTATAAAAAAACAGTTAATTTTTTAAAACTGTTATGGTCTTTAAAATATTGAATAATTTCATTTTTACTTAAACTACACTCTCAATTATTGAATTTAGAATGCAATTCACATTTGTTAACTGCCCCCGCTTGATTTGTCCCCAGTCTATGACTCTAGCATCACCTTTCCCTGTTTACACTTAACTCACTATGTTTGAGCCACAGTAGCCTTTTCTGAGATATTTAAATCATAACAAAACAACATCTTTCCACTTCAAGACTTTTGATTTCAATTTGTTTTGCCTTAAATGTTCCTTCAAATGAGTGCCAGCTCCACTCAACCACCCCAAAACGTCTTCCTTTATTCTTATCTTTCAAGTCACAACTTGTAGTAGGTTTGGCTAATTATAAACCAACAAAAAAATGTGTTCTTCCTTCTAAAGCATAGAGTCATCAAAGGGAAGTAATGCATTTTGAATCTTCCTTGTAGCTAAGTAGAGCCATCTGAGTAGTTCTCTCCAGGGAACATTAGAAGACATGCCATGTGATACTTCAAGATTTAGCTGCTAAGATCCTCACCCATGCTCCCTCCATACACTTTCAGTATGACTAGAAGAAGAGCAGCCCCCAGGTACTCTTGAAAGAAACATGTTGAAAATGTTAGTGGCTCCATCAGAATAAGTTTTTGATTAATTTCTAGACAGTTATGATTCCATCAATTGTTTATCTACCCAATACTTTTAGATAAATACAAATAACATTGTATTATATTTAACCAGTGTACATTTTGAGATCTAAATTTTATATCAGTCAGTTATAATGTGTGTGGGGGGGGTGTGTGTGTGCATGTATATATATATATATATATATATATATATATATATATATATATTTGTTTGTTTGTTTGTTTGTTTAGAAACACATCATTAGGAAAGTTTATTCAAACATGCAGAGATAGTCCAGCATTGTTTGTTCTCTTATTCCCAGGCTTCAACCCTCATCCAGCCGCTTCTCTTTCTTAAAGGGACAGCATTTCTACTTCAAATGTAATTCAGAATGGGATCCAGCTCTCTGATTTATGCAAAGGACATAAATTCACAAATCTGCCTGGGTATTTCTTTATTTAGAAGGATTATATGCAGCTGCTGTTTCTGGCAAAATTAATAGACAATGGAAATGGAAGTGGAAGTGACTGGATCATAACGGCAATCATTTCTCCTTCATGAAGTCCATCAGGTCACCTTCTATTCCCCTCTCACTCAGCTCATCCAAACCATAGAACAGATGAACGATCTTCTCAGTGGTGACTACCACTACTCGGACCCCCGTGGATGTCTTTGCCCAGCTGGCACCCAGTGGCAGATGACACCACAACATCAAGGTTCTGGTAGGCACCCCCAGCATTCCTGTGGTAGTGCCCCAGAACACAGCTTTGATAGCTGCTTTGGCAAACTTGTTTTCCATCTCCTTCCATGTAGTGTTGGTGAGGTTGGAGTAGTCCTTTGTCCTCGCTGATGCTTTGGAGGAAGAGGGGGATGTGCTGGAAGATGATGGTGTGCTGGCACTTCTGCTGCCCCGCACCCTTAGCTGCTGGTCCAGCCACTGGTCCCGGGCCTGCTTCAGGGCATGGCATCTGGAGGGGTCCTACACAAACTGGGAGTTGAGGACGAGGACCAGGATGCCCCGACCCAGAAGCTGAAATAGTCATCTCCCGAAGTCTCCTGGAACTCCGCGATAGTCTCCAGGCGTGGGGACGTTGCCCGCATTGTGATCGCCGCTGAGTATGCCAGCGGGATGTATCTGTCCACGTTTCTGAGCAGCCTTTGCAGGTTCTTCATCTGCTCCTTCCACCAGGGATCCAGGACATGGATGAGGTCCCCACACAGAACAAAGAATCTGGGCTTGGGGTTCAGCTTGTTGATGGCCTGAATGGCTTGCTCAGTTAGACGAATCTCCTGCCCCCACTCATCACCATTGTCACAATCCCCAGTGGACCAGGCCTTCATCAGTCCAAATTGTGGGTTTGCACCCTGGACGAAGTAGAATGGGCCTTTCCATTCCTTTCCTGTTCTGTGGGAAACGCGTCCAGGCTCCTGCCCTGGACTCTGTGGAAAATATATCTCCCCACCCCCCAACCCCGCCTCCACTGCAGAGGTGGCGATTGAGTTCCTGGTCCCACCTGAGTACACTGCCTGGGTTTTTATTTTTGATTTCTTAATATTTCACCAGTTATAGGTGATCACAATTTAAATATATTTTCATTCAAATAATTTTTTTCTATTTCTCATGTATACTCATTCAGGTTTCTGTTTCTCTCTTTTTTTTTTTTTTTTTTTTTTTTTTTTTTTTTTTTTTTTTTTTTTTTTTTTTTTTTTTTCTCTTAACTACCAATATGATACATCTAAGTTAGAACCTTTTTCTAGTTTTATTTCCTCCGGATACTTTCTTAGAGCTGTTACATGCACGCACATACACACATCATAGAAAAATAGAATTCCTGGAATTAACAGGGAAGAAACACTTTCTGGCATTACCAATATAGTCTTTCAACATCTGAGGAAAATTAATGTAGTCTTAAACTACTGATGATGTGATGGTCTTTCTTTTAATATGACAAACACTGAAGTTTGTTGACCTTATTTTGACTGAGAAAATGTATTATTTGGTTCTTTACAAAAATATCTAGGCTTTCTCAGTTTCATTCTCTTGGCTCAAGTCAACAATGAATTGGCCACAGTCATTGGAAAAGGTTTTCCTTCTTGTCTCAAGTACTTGTTTGGTTTCAGTGCATTTCTAGAGTCTAACTCCTACACCAAAGAGTTCTTAGAACTCTCCTAAGAACTACAAATATAAGAAATGAACAAAACAGTGTATTGTTAGATAAAGCACGGTTCACTTTAACATGGAAATTTGTTAATTTATTTTTTATCACACCAAAAATATTCCTTCCAATCTATCTTTGATTTCAAGTCACATACAATTATCATGTCCTTACCACCAGAGTTTAAATGATCATGGTTGAACATGTGGCTTCATTCTTGTAATTCTCCCCAAGTCTTTGATTTTACTCAGTGTCTAAAATATTGGTGAGATTTGGGGTGAGGAAATGAAAGGTGGCAATAAATTTAAGCCCTTTATGGAGCATAGAGAATTCTAACTAGACAGCAGAAGCATCATGGAACAGAGATTCCTTCTTTGTATGCTGTTTTGTGTGTGATTTGTTAAAACTTTTCACTGAATTAGACAGCTTCATTTTATTACAACACCCCAAAGCTCCAAAAATATGTTATTTGTTTCCAAAAAATATTTCATGGAAACAAATATCATTTTGTATTTTGAGATAAATATCTTTCAAAGAAAAAATATCACTTCCTTGGTAGACTACAAAAGCTGATGAAGCCATAGGTTTACATGAGAATTTGCTAAATGTGAATATTCTAAATTTCAGCTAAAGTTTTTAGTTAGATTCTAGGCAACACAACATGCAAAGGTGACCAATTCTCCTTGGGACTAATCACAATGGCCTTAACATTCTCCTCAGCTTCACTAAACTGGATGAGTTTGTTTGTTTTTTTCTGATTCTAGGTCCCTGACCTTCCTTTTCTCAGAGCATTTTCTTTAGAAAATGTTCAATTGTAGCAACAGGATGGATGGAACTGGAGAACATTATGCTAAGTGAAATAAGCCAGTCAGAGAGAGATAAATATCTCATGATCTCACTCATTTATAGAATATAATGAACAACATAAACTGATGAACAAAAACAGATTCAGAGACAGAGAAGCGTCAATCAGACCATCAAACCTCAGAGGGAAGGTAGGGAAAGGTGGGGGTAAGATGGAGAAATCAGCCAAAGGACTTGTATGCATACATATAAGCCTAACCAATGGACACAGACAGCAAGAGGGTAAGGAAATGGGTGGGTGGGTGGGGGGTCAATGAGAGGATTAGGACAAGTAAGTACCGTATTTTCTGGCGTATAAGACGACTTTTGAAACGAAAAATAGCCAAACTGAAAATCGGAGGCAAAAGACCAAAATTGCACAAAAATTACCTGCAGATCTTGATGGCAAAGTAAGTCTTTCCTTTGAAGTGGGGGGTAGTCTTATACAGCTAATATAGGCCTAAACCCATGTTTTAACTGAAAAATTAGGGGATCGTCTTATACGCGGAAAATACGGTAATACCTTAATAAAGAAAAAAAAGAGAGAGAAGATGTTCAATTGTGAATTTTCTCTGCCTTTTTGTCATTTAAATGTTTTCACACCCACTTGACAGTTTCACAACTCGGGAATATTTGTTTGAGGAACCAGGGAGTCATCTCTGTGTTATGTAGTCATCAAGAAAGATAGCAGACATCTCCCAGTTTCTGAGGGAGAGTTGGAGCCTAACATCAATAAACAAAAATTAGCAAACACAAACGGACTAATCCCACTGACCAATCTCCCCTATATTATCCTTCAGTATTTCCCACTAATTTACCTGAATTTACAATACTTTCATCTTTAGTTTCAGTGTAGTTGAGTTCCATCTCTCTCCCTAGTGTTGTAAGTCTTGAACAAGGTCTTCTTTGTCTAAGTCCATCCAATGCAGTTTTCCTTTGAAACAACTTTCCCCGAGATAGTGTTAAAAACGATCCCTCTCAGAACCTGCCAAACTGAAAAACAATCCCTTTCAGAACCTGGCAAAAAAAAAAAAAAAAAAAAAAAGTAACCATTTTTTCAAAGCACAACCCATTTAGCCCATTTATACATGTTTTGCAGCCTGCTATTCTCTCAGAAGAGTAGGGGTTGCCCTAGACCACACTGCTGTGTATGGTGGTCTGCTCAACATTATTCTGCTGCATAAACTAGCTGCTCAATAAATATCTGTCCAGTAAATAAATGGCAATTTCTCAACAAGGATGTGAAAATGTCATTGCAACATTTATCTTCATTGTTAGATCAGTGCTAACTATAGGATGACCCTTGTTTACTTAGTCATTTCTTCATCAATTAATTTATTCACCTATACAGTTCATTTCTTCATCAATTAATTTATTCACCTATACAGTTCATTTCTTCATCAATTAATTTATTCACCTATACATTCAGCAAATAGATATTGAGAGATTCTTTTATTTTGTCAGACCAACAGTCTTTGTCTCTGCCCTTTCATAGTTTACAGAGTAGAAGATACAGCAATGAACCAAAAGCAATCATACCACGTCCTTCCATCTCCCTTCGACACACACACAATTTAAAACTGGAAATTCCTGTGGATAAAGTAAGAGTGATATCATGTAAAGTGGATGTTGAATGTATATTTTTTACTCTTTGCAATCATTTAAAATTTCTAAAGCTTTTTAGAAGATTTGAGATTTTTTGGTTGTGATTATGCAAATATTCAAATGTCATGAAATGATCTAATATATTTTGACAATATACTAAATTGTTAAAAAAAAAAAAAACACACACAAAAAAACAACAACACAAAGAACTTGTGTATCTAAAGAGATTATGTTGAAAACCATTATTGGTATCCTGAATTTCAAAGAATTATTTAAAATATTAAATAATAAATTTCAAATTCATGTTTTAGAATATGAAGATGAATCTTTGGGAAAGATTATCTGGTAAGCTAACAGACCTCACATGGCCTACCAGATGAGATTTTGTGACTGACATCAGTTTTTTTATTATTCCAGGAAACAAAGTGATTCCCATACCAAATAATACAAAAGAAAATATGATATGGCCATGCTGACTAAGATGTGTAGCTAGGGAGAGAAGCATATGCCACTATGCCTTTCTTTTGGTGCAATAGAATAGTGTGTGTGTGTGTGTGTGTGTGTGTGTGTGTATACTCTAGTGTGCTATCATTAAATGAGAATATAGAACTAAACTTCTTTGTGTTTACTATGATTATTAGAATAGAACTTAAGATCGTTACACATGACTAAAAAAGTATTTTTCTGTAATGTTTTCCTGCTGTTTTATCCCAGTTTGTTAACCTAGCATGCTTTCTTTAACCTCACAGAGGTTCTTCTGGAGTCACCAGATAGAGCTTGATTGCAAATTTGTGACATATTTCAGCAGAGATGTCAGCTAAGCGGATGCATTGTTTACAATGAACAAAATTCCTACACACCTGTGCATTTGTTAGTCAAGTGTGCAACCCTAGGATACATTCATGAAATTGCAACTTGTATTTATGTTAGGTTTTCTTTAATTGCAAATTGCAGAAAACTCAACAAAAACTAGTATAATTAACAACTACAAATGAATTCATTGACCTTTATAGCTCAGCAGTCCAGATAAAGGGTGCTTCTATGATTTTGCACAGTGAATAAGTCATAGGTACCTCATTTTTTTCTTTCTTTTTGCTCCATCTTTCACAGCTTTGGTGTCCTTTTTCAGTTTCACATGCTGATTCCTGGACTTCCTTTTATAATGATTGCAATCCTGTACCTCCTAATATATCAC